CAGAAAGATTTTATAATTCTCCTATAAATGTTTCTTTTTTTTTTTTTCTCCTCTACTAGAAAAAAGTCAGTGCTCCTTAGAAGTGCATATAAAATTGTGCTCATCTAAAGTCCAGTAATCTCCAACTATACCATAACAAGGGAAAGAACACAGCGCAGTAATTAACACATCACTACCATATTTCTTCTAATTCAGCAAATTTACAGCTGAAAACAATTCCGTGTAACCCAATTTAATTACATTAAAAATTACGCAACTTATTTTATTAAAATGGGATTGATTGCTCTACAAAGAATTTAGATCCAACAATGACCTTCTGTGCTACTGTAAAAGGTGTTCAAAACCCAATGAACATACAATGAAGGCTCTAAACCAGAAACTAATTAGCTCACACACAAAATATTAAATCTGTTTCACAAATTATGTAAATCATATAAAAAATGAGGTATAATACCAATGGCAAACTTTATAGTGCCAAAATGGAATAAGCTGTATGTATACCTGCCTTCAAATTAACTAAAGCAATTATACTGTAAAATCATTAGCCCAAGACATAGTTTAAAGTCAAGCTTTAATAACTTAATGCTACATGTATTTTCTAACCACAGAAAAAGCATTACATACATTTACACTTCCCACTAAATTTAGAAGAGGTTATGCTGCATTACAGGAAAAATAAAGTCTTAAAAAAAAAACAAAAAAAGAGGAATGCCAAAAACATTTCCTGCAGAAAATACGCACAAAATTAGACCAACCTTTCCTCTGGAGCTCTGTTTCACCATAAAAACAATGCATTATTATGCTTTTTAAAACACTACTGTGTTTATTTATAACTTTCGCCATCAAAAAAAAAAAAAAAAATTAAACAACTCTCCTGAAGATGAGAAAATAAACCACAATTTTACATGATCCTGGCAATACTTTTAAATGCCAATTATCTGGTCTCATGGCTCCAAGTGTCCTACGGCCCAAAACTCTTACTACTTTGCAGCCAGGGTAGGTGGAAGAAACAGCAACTCACGGTAGGAGGAGCGGTGGAACCTCCACAATCCTAAGGGATGGGTTGAAATGTTTAATTTTTTTTACAGATGTGGAATGCTCAGAGACCCTTGTGCGGAATCCTAATAGGATTTCCAACCTGCTTTTCATGCTTTTAAGATAACTGCCGTGGAGCTTGATGCATCTATGGCAGGAGCGAAGGGACTGCAAATAAGGCAAAAAGAAACAAGCTTTCTTACTCTGCTTAGATGTTAGATTTGTTACTGCAATCCTCACAGCCCTGGGGTGTGTAAGACAAAGTCCTTCGTGCCATTGTGCAGGAAGGACAAAGTTTAAGCAAAGGGCTGTGAATCATCTATCTACCTGTTACCTTTCACAAGAGATGGCTCAACCGTATCCATGGAGCCTTATGCAGTTGTGACTTTTTAGATGCTCTGGGAATTCCCTCAGCACAAAACCAAGATACTGCATGCATGATTTATGCCTGAAAACGAGCACATACAAAACACCTGTCTAACAGTTTTCCTGGCCTCCTTTCCGATGACTGCATTTTTGGGGGGGGTGAAGCTAAAAGCCGAAGCACAACTGTGACGCATGCATGTGTGTGTGCGTGTGTTAGAAATATAGTTCACCTTTAACAAATATGACTCAGACCATTTTAAAATTTCTTCTTGCTGTTCACAGCCAAGATGTTACTGACAAACTTCTAATGGATAGAAACACTTTTTGGACTGCTACATTTTTTTTTTCCCATTTAAAAGAAAACAGCTTTTTTGTACATCAGCATCATTTGATATATTAAAAACTACACGAGCTAAGATTTGGTGCTCCATACGCCTTCTGAAGAGCTGGGATAAGGCACTGTCACAACACACAGAATCTAAACACTGCTCTAGGAATGGATGTGGCTGCAGTGTGTTATATAGGAGGCACTGCAGAGGATGTTTCAAAAATTGAGTAAGTAAGCCTCTGTTACTAGAATACTAATTAATAAAAAAACCCATTTTCTGAATTTGTTCCAGAGCTTCTAATACTAGAAGTCCAACAGGAGACTGATCAGCAGTGAGGTCAACTGGCCAAAGATGTTCAACAACTATTTTTGTGTGTATACATATCTACAATCACTAATCCTGTGTAATCAATACACACAGGCTCCATATTTACTAAGGGCTGCTCTTATACTATTTTAATATCACCTTCCTACAAAGAAGAGTATAAAAACAATTGGCACACACCAGAAAGAAGTTCTTGGGGTGAGGGAGAGAACAGAAAAAATTACAGAGGGAAGAAACTGGGAAAATCTGAGCCATATCTGGGCTAACCTGTAGTGAAAATTAATAACATCCATGCAGCCAACTGAGAAAGGAGGACTGGAAGGCAGGATCAATGATTGAATCTTCTAATAAAATGCATT